AAAAATACCACTAGATATCAAACTTCATTCGAATATCACAATCATTTTGAAATTTATCAACAAAAAACAAAAATAATAATTCAACTTTGACACTCTGTATCTCAGAAACGAATAACACGCGGACATATATTAAAACGAACTTTTCTCCTTATTTTGACGTCAGCAACATGCTCCTGAATTTTCTACACGTACTTGAGAAACACCCCGTATATCTGGTAATAAAGTACTGACTTTTTTCCAGTGTGAAAAAAGTGATTTGATAAAAATTGGAATTTTGTAACCTGTCAACGGAGATGACATGTTGAACTCTTTTCCCATCACAGAAAAATTTCCTTTATATTCCACTTTTTTATATGAAATAGGCTTCACAGTCACGAATTATTTTCTGGAGACAGATAGCGCGTCATTTGAAGTTAATAAGGCAAAAACCAACTACCGCAGAAAGAAGTAAGACGTGCGTAGAATATCACAATAATTCCGTGCAATATTTCTGATTAACATTCAAGGGAGAGCGACAGACAATTTGGCGAAAAAAATCCCTCTGAGATCTGCAGCTGGACTAGCTGAATTTATATCAGTCGATTACGACATGATTTATACTGCGATCTCATTCAAAATGTAGTCAAATAGTGCAATAGTTTATATAATTCAATTTATCTACATAATTTATCATAGGTATCATTGAGTTCGATTGCATAATTCCAAAAGTACGTATGTTTACTGATATAACTAGGTCAATTCACCAGTTTTTTTTAATTCCATATTTATGAATATTATTGATATTTTCTATAAGTTTCTTACTCCATTAGCAAACCTAATGATCACCTACACACTGAAAACTTTTCGGGTGTAATTTCAATCGAGTGGATTTCAGAAATAACTCCGTTTGAATCAACACTTGATTAACAATATTATATCAGTATTATTAGAAATTTGATAATACCATGTACCGTGGTGTCAATTGACACCTCCATAGTGAAAAATCACACGGATGTGATAATTTAGAGGGGTTCTGAAATCCATTCAAAAGAAACACCAAAAGGATGAAAAAAAAATACTTTCGATAGTAGTATTATTCAAGTTAACGCGAAAAATACAATTATTATATGAAACTAACACCTAGTTACAACCTGACCAATCACGAACAAATCAAAACCGTGTATGAATCATCAGATTTGGAGCTAATATAATTCAGTTATCGTCTTGCATTCTTCCATGTGAATAAATAATGTTGCTTATGTTGAAATTACCACCTAAAAAACGTAAACTTTTTTTTTTATCGATTGGAGCGCACGAAAGGGAATCCCTATAATGTTCAAAGAACATCGTGCGTTCCTAGGGAGGATAGGGACAGGAGGTAGGTATTGGATTTTTTTTTGAATTTTTGGAGATTATATGTTGTTGGGAATACTTCCACAGGCAATGAATTCCAGAGCCTAGCCGTTCTATGGATGAAGGAGTCTTGATAAAGTGCTGTTCGACATCTTTCGAGGTTGACGAGGAAAGGATGTGCTGACTGGGCTTGTCTAGTTCGTCTGATTGGTATTGCTAGTGAAGGGATGATTGCAGAGATTTCCGAAGAACATTTCCCGTGGAAGTATCGATAGAAAAGTGAAAGGTCGCCGACCTTTCTACGGTGTTCCAATGATGTCAAAGAGTGAGTGAGTGGGGCGTCACCCACCAGGCGAATGGCTCTTCTCTGGATGGAATCTAAGAGCATCAGCGTATGTTTTGGTGCTGAACCCCATATGTGGAAACAGTATTCTAGAACAGGCCGTATCTGCGCTTTGTAGATCATGAGAAGCTGTTGAGGTGTAAGTAGCTTTTCGCACGGAACAAGAATCCGAGTTTTTGTGAAGCAGCTGTTGCGATGGATCTGACATGATTATCCCATGAAAGAGTGTTGCTGATGGAAATACTATGCATAGATATGGTGGGCTTGGTGGGGATGGTGGAGCCAGACATTACAATATCGGGCATACTGAGTTCCGCCTTTCTAGAGAAAATGCAGGCTTGAGTTTTGGTGGCTTTGAATTCAACTAGGTTGTTCGTTCCCCAAGCTGTGATTTCAACAAGATCTTCATTGACAGCATTGACCTGCCTGCGCCGTGAGTTCTTAGTTTCCTGGGAAGAAATGGGAATTCTGGAAGAGAACGCAGTATGGAGGGTACTATCATCTGCAAAGCTGTGGATGGGGCAAGTTGTTACTCCCAACAGATCATTGATATGAAGCAGGAATAAAGTTGGTGCCAAAATTGATCCTTGTGGAACGCCGGAATTGATGCCAATGGTATCAGACGATACACCGTCCACCACCACGTGAAGCGATCTGCCTGAAAGAAAACTCGATAAGAGATGGCATAGCTGAGGTGGTAAGCCGTATGATGGTAGTTTGTGGAGGAGTCCTTCGTGCCAAACACGGTCGAATGCTTTCGATATGTCCAACGCGACATCAAAGAATGAATACAAATCGTGTAGATATATCATCATCCACGAATTCTGGTATCCAGAATAATAGGTGACAATATATAAGAACGGATGATTTCGTGAAAATAATGCTTTAAATGAACTCATCAATTATATTTATAATTTTATAATGATTTTATTGATTTTGAGATTGCGAAGCTATATAGAGTAATTATATCGAACCAGATTGAAACATGAAATTGAATATCAAAGTATACATGTTGTGCACAGTGCAACAGATACAGTGTCAAAATAATCACAAATTAATTATATAGTACACCACTTCGGTGTTGAATAACACGAACCGATCAAATTAGCACTAGGTACTCTAGTGTTATTCTTGACTGTATGTAAGAACGAATGGTGTTCGAAATATCAGTGTTGAATTCTCACTAAAATAATCAGGACCTCAGGGGACACCCAAGGGTGTTAGATGGTGTACACTGGTGTTCTTTTTTTCCACTGTGTATGTGGTGAGTTCGATTATCAACTAAAGTAAACCCAATTGAAGGTTTTACTGAGTTAATTAACTATTCCTTGCAGTATTCGAACGGAATTTTGAGTCTTTCATTATCATCTGAGATCAACATGAACTTGTTTGTCAAGTTGACAAGTTTAGTTTAGTCAGTTTAGGTTCAATTCATACTGGAGAAGGTAGATTCAACATTCAAGTTGTAAGTAAAGTAATTATTTTCCATAGTAGTATCATTCAAGTTAACGCAAATAAAACCTGACGTCAAGATTTCGTGAGTACGGGCAGACTATACAGAAGAGTTGCCATATTTCAAAATACGAATAGGAACTCCAGAAATATTATTATTTATTCAATAATTCATAAATTCTTAATCATGTATTAGTTATATCGTAATTGGCTATAAAAAATCTATTGTCTCAAAATGATGAATTTTTGTCAAAAATGATCATACTAATTCACAGTAGAGGCCATTTGGTCCCGTAAACGTGACGATGTCTATAGCCAATATTCACCTGATGTTTTTTTATGGACTATAAAAAGTATGTTGACAAGCTGGTTGCTTGGAAAAGTGACAATTTACCAACTACAATATCATGGCTACCTCCTATTAGGTCAAATAAAATATTTTATCTACTCACTGCATCGAAAGTAGGCGTTTGTGCCCTCATTTAAGAACACAAACCTGTAAATTCACACAAAAAATATTACCTCCCAAGGGAGGTGAAATAAATTGGCCTTTGCTTACTTCCTCAAGTATGAATCACTACTATAAAACAAATAACAATTTCATTTTCCAATGACACTTCCTCATTATCCAAATACTCAATCAAAACTTCAAATTAAATGCAATAATACAATTATTAACAAATTCTGTCTGTAACCTTAGATCATGTCTAACATTGATTTGGATCGAGTCTCGAGAGATCGACCGCTTGAAACACAATTTCAATAACGACGCCCTCAGATATATGCGTTTATGGATAAAATCATATATATATCTTGGGAGCCAAAGGTTCATTTCCTCCCATGTGTGTTTAATGCCCAAATTTCACACGCGGGAGGAAATGGATACCTTTGCTCCTTGATATATGAATAGCTCTTATTTGGATGTAGATTCAATCAACGATAGGGCTCTAACAACTTTTTAATAACTTGATTATAATTGGTGATCTGACAACCTTGCTCCATGAGTGGAAATGGTTTCGAAAAATAAATATAGTCGTGGTCTTGGTCTTGGATCAAAATGCGTCTAGAAATTTGAATTATCCAATTCAGATATCCAACAGTTTATATGCATATAATAGGTATTTCGTATTTCTCAATCTTTAAAATAATTGTCAATTTGTGCATTTAAAGTAAGCGAAATAAATGTCTCCTTCAACCATAAAAATATAATTCTCAAGAAACCTTAGACATCAAATGAGACCCAAACAGCAAACAGGCCGACGCTCGACAGGCCAGAAAAAGGTTCAAAAGGGTCGGAACTGACAACAACGCATTATCAAAATATTTGAGGAAAAATTAAATTCAAAACAAATACCTTTTGTATTGAATTTGTTTCAATCTTCAATAGGAGGAGGTATGGACCACTGTGACCTTACAACATACACCCATTCGCTATATATAAACTTTAAAACTGCAATACTGAATTTGAAAAATGTATTTCGGATTTTGAGTGAACAAAAATTGAAAACCTACCATATGACAAATGAATAACTGAAATGGAATGCCATTACATTCTCCATCAGATTTTTCTTAATATTGAGTAGATTTTGAGTTCATTGCATGTTGTTCTTTCGAGAACAAGACCAACACTCTTGGGAGAGAGTGTTGGTCTTGGTCTCGGAAGTCAAGTCTTGGTCTTCGTCTCGGGAAGATTTATTAAGTCTTGGTCTTGGTCTCGCGAAGCCCTACTACTAGTCCACTAGCCCATTTTCTTCGTCGAACGGCAATCTACCATTTTGCGCACTGAATAGACAAATAGGTATTCTCAGATAACAGATTGTCACCCTTCATGAGGTTGCGGTACTTGTTCTTAAAATTCAAATAGAAATCATACCTTTCTTCTGTACAAGGAAAGCATTTACCATCCAGAAAATCTTCATACGACTCACACGGGAAGGCAGGAAAATGGCATCTAGGAGAAACTGAGTCTATGAAGAATTTGTAGGCTCTTCGGTGATTGCATAGTGATCTGCCTTCTATGGGTGATGCTGCAAAAATATACAACAAATGAAGTAATTGTCATCGGAATGAGAAGATAAGATACTCTTTCTACGGCTATGAAACAAAATTGCTCTTGTTTTCCTGTGTTCGATACATCAATGAGGTCATCAATTTTATTGCTGTATCTGATATTACAATGTGTTATTATTTCAAAAAAATCTCATCGTTCATGGAATGTCAAATTTCAAAAAAAAGAAGCTATGCCGTTATTATCTGTTACAGCCGTAGAAAAATTATGGTCATCTCGAATATTTTTCCAATTCGCTGCACCTCGTTACCAAAATCAGTTTTCGATCAACAAAGTAGCATTTCGCGCACTAGATACAAAAATATCTATTATTCTCAGTGTTTCTCGACTAACTTTTCTAGTCCAAATATTTCATTCATATCAATAACACATTGATGTAAACAAATAATGAAAGACAGGGTTCCTCATAATGCTGATGACACATTCATAAAAGTTGATGAGAATTCCAAGCTTGAATAAAATAGCGTTAGGTGATTGCATTTGCAAGTTTTGATAAGGTACTTTTTTTTATCGCTTGAAGCGCACGAAAGGGAATCCCTATAATGTTCATTTTTTATATTACTAATGTACACTACAATGTATGTTCAAGGTAAAAATTTTTGAGTGGATTTCAACTCCACGTCCACACAACTTTGTGTCAATCCAGGCCACACCGGATTGAGTAATCATTTTATCGTTACTTTTTGGATTATACTGACACAAAATGGCTCAGATGTATGAAAAATGTTCGAAAAATCATGAACACAATTTTGACTGACATTCATCAAAATCTGAGTTCTCGATGAAACTAACTGTGCATTTATATTTTTACGAAAAGCTTCACTCAATAGGATTTTTTACCGTATATTTTCGACCTGACAAATTGAATACGTCGACGTTAATCCTTATGGAACACATTTTTATCAAATCTTCAATGACATTGCCTTCCCTACAACTCCGACCCTGATAGCACACAACGTCCTAGGGACGTCCCTATTAGGTACAATTCAAGTCCGGACCAAAAATTAGTGTCCTTGGGACGTTGCATCCCGTACATCTCATGCATTGTCCGAGCAAGGACGTCCACGCAACGTTCAAGCAGGTACATCATTTCAAATGTCCTAGAAATAGCATCCCTTTAGACGTCCCACGTGGTACATATTGTAGAATGTCCATGCAAGGACGTCCTTGGTGTGTCCCTGATGGGATATGATTTAAAACGTTCCTCTAGGGACATCCATCGGATGTACCGAGTAGAACATATTCTGGCATGACTTCTGATCATATATAATGTCCTTTCTAGACAACCATGAAATGTCCCTGATGCTACATTCCTTCAAATATCTCCGCACAGACGCCCTTAATATCTCCAGGATCGTATAACAATCGAAATGTCCCGTAGGGACATCCTTCAAATGTCCCTTAGGGATATCCGTCGGATGTCCCAATTGGTACATGAACTGTACTCTTCCAATGTCCTAGAAAAAAGGTCCTACGGACGTCCCAGTCGGTACTTTCAATATGTTGTCCCTACGAGGACGTTAACTTACACCTCACCGACTAATGATTGCTCGTAGGCTATAAGTACTCCCGTCAATGTCCTTCACGTAAGTCCATTGGACATCCTTGGGAAACTTTTTAGGATCGATTTGGGACCTTCTACGGACCACAAACTCAACTAGATGTAGTCATCAATTATGCAAGATCTGATCCTAGAGGGACTCAGAAAAATTCAAATTCAAGAATAATTCGTACGTCCTGGGACATCCTATTGATATCCCTCAGCGTTGCTGATAGGTTGTCCTACGTAGTGCTTGATGAGGAATACTGTAGGATTTAGGTATTCGATAGTTGTCCCAGAGACATCCCTCAAGGACGTCCCTAGTTGGCCCTTTAGTGGGATATTTGTGCGTCCCACAGACGTCCAATGGACGTTCACGGTACCAAATTCGAACTTCCTATGGACGTCCTAAGGATATCCATGGGACATAATAGTGTTATCAGGGGATGAACTATACAGAATTTGAATAGGAATAAAGACATAATTTTTCCGGAGTCAATCGGAGCATCAGGTTTAGCAAAAATCATACACCACACGCTTTCAGTTCGTTTGAAGTCCGTGCACGTAGCGGACTTTGGACTTCGGATTTCTCACCATGTATAATAGCAAATAATCAAAAGGTTCATTCGGGTTCGAACAATAACTGTTCTAGAACTGTCAAGAGTTTGCGCAGTAGAATCGGTCACGTTCGGGTTTTGTGAAACTGTTCTGTTCTAGGACTGACTCTTTACGCGTTCGAGTTTTTTCAGAATCCTCCTGAGACGGTCCTAGAACTATCCGAAACCAGTGCCTACTCTCGAGCGTGAACCGTTCTGGGATTATCTTTGGTGCATACTCATTGCATTTAGTTTTGGATTCTGTTTGTTGTCACGTAAGGTCGTGATGATATATTTTTGTTTTTTCACCGCTAGCTATAAAACGTACCATTATTCACTCCTTTTCGAGGCGTGAAGTGTGTTTTCACTACCAAGGTAGTTTCGGCGATTTTAAGAACTACTAGTCAATAAAGACATAGCCACCTCTGTTGTAATTAACCCGAATGCAATGTTCTGATCAGACATTCGCAGAAATGACATTGGAATCTATATAGTAGAATTGGAAATAAGTGCTTTCATAGTGACAAAATAGGTCAATATTTCGATTTCACAGAACTAAAATGATTGAAATATATTGCTAGTGGTGAAAAAAAATCAATATAAACCTTGGTACTAAAGTAAAATATTATTACGACCCTCTACAATTAGTTCACAGACATGTACCAGATTGTTTAAAGACAGCGACTTTAATATAATTCTTGTCCAAGAAGAAATCATGAGTTTTTTCCAGTCGTATATTCAATAATAAAAGAGCGAATGCAAATCAATTTCTACTCCAAGGTTATAACTATTTTCTGATGGCAGAATATGTCTGTTGTATGATCGAAGATAATAAGAGTGCTTTGTGGAGACCTGTGGAAACTATGGATGATGCCGTGTTGAGCGACTGATCGGGTAATCACCGGTGGATCGAGATTGAGACGAACGGGAGTCAGTTTCTTTGTTCTAATATTTCATAATTATCATTATTTATTTATTAGTAGGATTTGAATAGAGGTATGGTGTTCATACAGTGAACAGTGTGTTTGATTATAGTGAAGTACCACATGCTTCAGAAAGTATTCAAGTAGAATTAATGTTACTGGACATGGATAAATGGATAGGTACTCAATGTCAACATCGAAAAGCGATTAGTCCGAGTAAATGTTCGGAATATGTTATGGTTTGAGAGTTATGGAATATATTCCATTTGACTGGTGACTGCAACACTTTGTATGGATCTATGTATGAATAATACATCAGTACCTAAATTAATACCTACCATATTCCCATTTCATACAGGGAATCGTATTTCGATCCTCAAATAAACAAAATATACAATCAAATCACCTATTCTGAATATAAATGACATATTGATCGAAGAGAGCTCCGGTTTATGCTATGGAAACTCTAGGCAATAGTGCTTTCGGATTTGTCATGAAACTGTAACTCACACTCAGTATTCTCGATATTATCAATTCAAAGGGTTACTGGTTTTCAATCCCATCCCCTCTTTGGAATTAGTAAATATCTGAGAAACCGTAACGAATCTTTGTTCTCTCGAAAATATATAAAGACAGATATTTTGAAATTTTCATTCGACAAAGAAAGTTGGAGCGAGGCTGGTTTGTAGAGTGAATAATATAAATAGATGAAAAGTAACGAGATAACTTGAGGATATATTTCAGAGGGGGGGAAGGCAGATAACACCAACCATTGGCCCAGCATTTGTAATTCACACCTCTCCCGGCAGCATTTAAACATTCCACTATAGGATTTGGCACCCGTCTCAATTCTCATTGGCTCATTCAAATACACCTCACTATCACAACCAATAATTGAACGGTGCCGAATCGCATAGCATAATGTTCAAACAGTGCCCAAATCGGTAGTGGAATGTTATATAGTTACGGTGCCCGAATCTAATGTTGAATGTTCCAGCGGTGCTGAAAACCAGAGTGGAATGTCATTTATAATTTATTATTTTACCGAAACTTGACAGTTTTCACCTACTTGGTTGATGTTTTCAAGCATCACTGCCTACTACCTTGATATTTCTCATGATAAATCGAATGAGAATATTCCAGCTGATTCCTAAAATATATGTATATCGAAAACTGTCAAGTTTTGTGATTGATAACAAGTATAGTTTTTTTAAGAGAGAGAAAGTAGAGCTCGCATTCATGTCACAAATTTGGGTCATGTGGCGCCCTCCAAAGAATAAATCGAAGTAAATACCAAGTTATGATTTATCATATCCATAAACCCTTATTTGCGAACATTGTATATGCATCTCTGTGCAAAAACTGTTCGAGAACTTGGAATCGAGTTGGGTTGGTCCGAAACACAATGTTATGAAGTCAAAAACCTACTTTACTTCTATGTACAATAATTTCTGGACCACTCTCTAAATACTGAACTTACTTGAACAAGTGTGTGTATTTTCAGATTTCCCTATCCTGATTTCCTACCGTTTGGATAAAACCATGGTTGGAGAAGAAAACATGTATTTCCAGAAATTGAATTCAATAATTTGACTCTTACAGGTGTAGAAAGGCCAAATGACAAAGAATATTGTCATTCGTATAAGTAGTAAAAATACCACAACGTTTAATATAATCAGATTATAAAAGGTTATATAGTCGACATGTTTCGGATCTATAAAGTATCCATCAGCCGATTCAAGTCATATTTGCCGATGATGGATTCTTAATAGATCTGAACCATATTTCCTCCCCTCTTTATCAATTGACATTGGGGAAATGAGTTGGAGAATTTTTACTATCTATTATATGAACTACTTCAGTCTACTTTACAGAAGAATGATATTTTAATTATCATCAC